TTTGATTATGCCTACTTCATCATTCCACACTATGTAACAGTTTTTATTATTTATCTCTTAGTTCTTCGTCATTATTCTAACAATTTCATTTTACTTTATATTTATCTATTTTATTTTTCTAATAATTTTTTTTTATTATCTTTTTTACCATTATTACTTATGTTTCTCATACCTTGTTATCTGGTTATTTTCTCAGCCCTGATGAAGGCCTGAACTTCAGGTCGAAACATCGGCATATGTAAAAAAAAAAAAAAATAAATATTATAATTTATTTTTGCCTTCGTTTTTGACTGAACACCCCAACTATTCTTCTCTTCATTATCCACGACAGTCAACCAATTACCAATTATTATTTTATAAATATTTGATTTTAAAATTACATTCAGCTAGTTATATAACATTTGTAAGATACAAAAACTTAAAATCCAGGTTAATTACTAAATTATTAATATTTCACCAAATTCATATACTTTCGGACATCTTTCATATTACTTCAAGGGAATTCCTCATCTAGCTCCTCCTTCCTTCAGCCCGAAAACTTTTTTTTTTTAATCTTAAAAATAACCGACGATTGGTAAAGAAAGTTTGCACGAATATAGTAATGATAATGGGATCCGTCTGATAAACTTTGCCATCTCGAAAAACCTGATAATTAAAAGTACGACGTTTAAACATAAGGATATTCATAAATATACTTGGACATCACCGGATTCGCAAACACGAAATCAAATCGATCATGTCTTGATACAACATAGCTGGCAAAGCAGTCTCTGGTCTTGTCTCTGGTATCTCAACTGTTTCATTTCAAGTGTAAATTAAATTTTTCTTGCAACTTCTCATGAAATGGAAATGAAAAATCACTTGGCTTGAGTTACTTATTGAGAGAATGGCCTTTCATCGTTAATAATATCTCTGTCGAATAAAATCTACAATTTAGGCTCGTTTCCCCTGTGACAGTAACCTCGAAAGTTCCAGCCGGGGGCTTTGTGTAATATATCCGATAATATGACATTTGCAGTCTTGGCAGTATCGTTGCACTATCTGGTTTTGCGTCATAGTTGCGTCACTGTTTCGGAGATGACAGCGATTGTCACATTAGCTGCCACATACAGGCGCCTTCCAGTGAATCTTTTGTAATATAATCAACTGTTATAGTCAGTTAAAAGTGTACTGCCCGTGCGGATAACTGTCGTGTTGCATCTTATCAGAAAATACTAAAAATATTTTATAAGCAATAAATAAACTCAAAAGTCATAATGACAATATATGGTCGTACGTAAAACTTAGGCGAAAATAAAATGATAAAATAGCCTTTAATCCTCTAGCGGATCCAGGATTTAATTTTGGAGGGGCCTTCAGCCCGAAAGTTTTTTTTTTTTCTTAAAAATAACGATAATTACTTTGGGACAAAATAAAGAAACTAACTGCCTATATGAAATGGTGTTTAAGTGATTCCTAAAGCCCTTTTAAATGTAATTTGACGAACAATAATACTTTGAGAAATAATTTTTTTATATTTTTTCGATAAAACATGGTTATGTTTCCCATTTTGGGGGAGGGAGCTTCAGCCCGAAATCCTCCCTCCCCCCGTAGATCCGCCTTTAATCATTATGTTTTATACGTTGCCAACAATCTTGTTTCTTTTTATGTATGAATTTGATATAGATTCTATTCATTTTTAAGTATTAAATTCTTAAAGATGGAATAAAGAAGTATAAATATAAATAGTTTTTTCTTACCATTTAATACAAAATTCCTTAATTTGATATTTACATTTATTTAATTTACATTAAATTAGTCATTGAAATTAAGTCTCTAAGCTCTTATTTTTTTTTTTTTTTTTTTGTTGTCTTTGTTGGAATAATCCAAGAAAAATATTGAATCCAAGAAACGCTATTCTGTTAGGTATGAAGTATTCGGTCAGCTGTTTTATATCCGCCATTTTTCCCCATGTGTCACCGAATTTACTTTCGTAAAATGCAAACAAGAGTAATGCTGCTGTCATACCATCTTGACAATACAACATGGACGAAGAGTGTCACCTGTAAACGAGATTTTAATACATGGCCTGATATATTTGTTGTCGGAACAAACTATTGAACTGAGTTTCTTTCAATCATTAATATTATAAGCCGTAATTCTGCCGCATTGTCCAAATATTGCTCCATACGACAAATATTTTTAAATGATATAGATTGAACTAAAAAAAAAATTAATTCTATATTTCTTATTCTTAACATTGAAATAGATTTAATTATATATTATTTCGATGATTTAAATCTTCCGCGAAACCTTCAGGTATAGAAAGATGTTGGCAGAGATGCCTAAACATGGATCAAGAAAGCTGTGGTCGATATTACACTGACAGAGGTTATGTAATCATTTCCTTTTTATAAGTCGTTCGATATTGCTTCCTTCGCCTACCACCTCTTCCAGCCCCAGGGAGAGCATTCGGATTGCCATGTTCCTTGCTTTCAAATATATGTTATGTTTTCTGAAGAACACTTGAGTCATAGTTCAAATTTTAACTTTACTGTTATTAATTGTTTACTCATTATAAACATAACTAACATTAATCCAAAGGTATGGGTACGGTTGACAATCGTCGTATTAGCGAAACTAGAAAGAATTTCCGATAGGTTTATTAAGAAGAAAGAGATTTTTTTGCATGTCTGGACGTATTTAACAGTATTGCTAGTAGAGGCCTTCATTAATTTTTAACCGACAAAAGTAACTTTTTTTTCTGTTCATTATTCCTAAAATTGGTGTCTTGAAGTTTTATTTGTTGTATAAGTTAGACCATTATTCACCAACATTTTATTTATTAGCTTTTTTATTACAACGTTCCGTCCATCACTAGGGACATTTTCAAGTCTGGAAAATTGTAATGTCATTATTAGTTAACATTTAACATTTACATAAAAAACATTTTATTACACATAATTAACTTTTCTAATAATCGATGTCATAATATTTTCAATACACATAGATTTGTATACTTTTTCTTATAAAAACATTTCATGTATGTAACTTTACTTATTAAAAACAATTGAATATTACCTTATTCAATGCTCCATTAGATATTCATTATTAATGTCGTATTAATTTGTTCAGTGAAAAATTAAATTGTCCTGCTATTTAAGAGTTTCCCCTACGTCATTTCTGGAGGGACTGACTTATATCGTCCTGGTGGGATAGTCAAGGGGAGAGGGGTTTTCCTTCTATTGTTTTGCAATAGTGGATTATTTTATCTAATTTATGATTTTTATATGTTTTTAAATTAATTATTATATTATATGCGAATATTGTTAATTACATTTCCGTAAAAGGTATTTATATTATCTACATCTGTATAGTTGTTAACGGAACTCTTCAAATGTTTAGTGATATATATTGACTCTATAATTTTTCTTTTGTTGTTACTATTTTCCTTATATATTATTTTGGCATTTTTAAAATCAAATTGGTGTTTGTTGTATGTTGCGTGTTGTGAAAGGCCGGTTGATGTGTTTGGCCTAACTTATATAACTATTTTTATTAAATTTCTTAAAATAACTGTTGTTATTAATGTAAAGACAGAGTAATGATTATTTTCCTCGTTGTAAGTTAAACATCAGTTGTTAATTAGTAGTTCCTTTGAACGTAGATAATTTCATATTGTCGAGGCGACTATTTTTTTTGCGAAGGAGTGCGTTGGGTACGTTTGTGACATATTTTCTGGGTAAGGCTTTGACACAAGTAAATTTTTTTTGCTTTAGATTTTTTTTTTTTTTTTTTTTACAAGTGCCTCTCACAACCGTCCTTGGGGTGGAGTCGATTGTGCCAGTTTCATTTTTTTGTTTTCTAATTTTCTCTCATGAGATATACATTGTATATACGGTCAAAATTTTATTATTTTTTCGTAGTCAAGTATATAGTCCATGGTGTACAGACCTCTTTTTATCACATTATTAACATCCGCTAGAAAAACTTCGTGAATAGCTTTGTCTCATTGTAACCTACAACCATTTTGTTTACGAAAATTCTTGGAATTGAGTCGTTTTTAATCTGGAGATCGGCTAAATTTGTATATTTAATTACGCATTAAAAACTCGTATATATTCATTTGCTTTATACTAGAATAGTAATGTTATTTTGACATGTTGAGGACGGAAGTCATGCTAAATAGCCCAATATTTTTGTAGCCTACCTTTATTCTTGATTTTATTTTACCATTCAAGTGGAAAGGAAATGGCTGTTCATGAGTTTTTAGTATTTAATCAAATAGACAACATTTGCCGATCTCCTGATTTAAAAGTCAACTGGAATTTCGAAAATTTTCATAAATAAAAAAGTTGTAGGTTATGAGATGAAGCTATTCACGAAGTTTCAGATCCATGTAATAATTTGTTAAAAAGGAGTCTGTACCACAGACTGGTACATATAATTATAAAAAACGCCTTTCTTCTGTCTAATTGGTACAATAAAAAATTGATGACGATTAAATAATGTAACTAATTGTACTTTTGATCAGCTTTATTTCATTAATTAATTGAGGTATAAAAAAGCCTATTAGTCATTTTTTTTTCTCTAGATCTCAATTATACATTTTACATGTCCGGATAAACAACCTACCCTAAGTAGCAACCAATTTTTGGATTATTTTTATTAAAATTGTTGAAATAATTTAAGAATCGAAATGGAATTCGTCGTTTCTTCATGAAATTCCTATTCTATGATACTCAATCATCAAAATTCATCACTCCTGAGGGACGGAAAAGGGATTTATTCTACCATATTATATATAGTATACATTCAGACGCTTCTGGTCAATATTGTTTTGCTAGGTGGTATGCACCATATGAAAAAAAAAATTTTGAATAAAGTGGTTTTGAAACATAATGCTTATTACAGATTCTATGCTGCTAAATGCATATATACATATTATAGTCAGGGTACTATAATTATAAACTAATATTGTACTTGTTGTTTTCAGCTTGCGGACTTGGCTCACCAACGGTATGGACCACGGGAAGACGAGGTACGACTTGTACCTCGCTCTGTCCGTCTGGTCGGAGCATTCCAAACTGACCTTCAGGGAGGTCAACGGCGACCACGGCGACATCCTCATCTACTTCGAGAAGTCAGTACAATATTATAAATAACTATTTTTATTTATTGAAATTTACAACAATATTAAATAAATACAAATAAATTAGAAATAATGACATGAACAGACGAGATACTACGCAGTGGTAGCTCTGCCTTAATAATTCTAGATAAGAAGATCACGATGCCATCTTCTTTTCAGACAGCTAGGAGGATTATCAGGAATCGAGAAAGTAGTAAAGCTGGAAACAAGTGGATTGGGATGGATCTGGAGTTTATCATGAAAGGATAGATATCTGGCTTGGGCTAAATCAGCGACATATGGAACATTAAGGTCCTTACGGATGGTTTTATTTGTGACGAACTTTGGGGCATTAAGGATTTTACGAAGGATTTTAGAGTGTAAGGATTGGATACGATAGGAATTCAATGATTTGTTAGTGTCCCAAAGCTCAACTCCGTATATCCATATAGGTCTTATTGTGGTCGTGTATATGACACTTTTGTAGTTAATTGGAAATTTAAAGCGTTTGTAAAGTAAGTGTTGGAGCAAGCGGAAACGTCGAGCAGTTTCATGTCGCTTCAGACTGGTTTGCGGATTCCAAATAAGACGTTTTTCCTATTGGAGTCCTAAGTAGAGGATTTGTTCAACAGCAATAAGTCGAATATTATTGAAGGATACTATAGGACAAGAAGAAGTCATACGTTTATGACGGACGGTGCAGGTGATTTAATGGGGTTTCTTGGAATTTATTTTTATTCTCCAATTTCGGCACCATTCTTCAAGGCTTCAAGGTTCATTATTAATTTGTTTTTCCTCTTTATTTTTTAATTCACAACTGTCAATGTCCACTGACAACCAGTGAATGAGATAACTATACTAATAGACTAGGAGAAAGGGCATGATAAGCATGAGGAAGAGAAAAAAACCCAATGGTTTATCTTCGGTCATGTTTGTGGTTAATTAAGGAGATCTCTCATCCAACTCCTTTTCAGCCTTCTGCGGATGTTATCGGGCATGCTTTTATTGGTCATGTCTTGGATGAGTCTATTGGGGTGACCATAGAGCTTGTTGTGAAATCTTTGTAATAAGTTTGTATGTGTTCTGTGACGGTTTTCATGCGTAAATCATTGTGGAGAGTTATGTTACTAACATACCAAGGTGCTTGAGTAATTGTTCTGAAGGTTTTGGCCTGAAATATTTGTAATTTCTGAATGTGAGTTTTTTTGGCAATTCCGTATATTTGTGATGCGTTTGTTCAAAGTGGTTTTAGTAAGTGTAAGTGTTAAGTTTTTTTTCTTAGATCTAGTTTTGAGCGACGTCCCAGTAGGGAATACATATTAAAATATAACAAACATGTGCCATGGTGATGACAGTGTCAGCGTGGGTTGGGATGTTAGCTGTACAAACTATGTAGAGGATGAGACCGAGGATACTACCTTAAGGAAATAAATAACTTGATCTATAGTTTTCATCTAAAACAATAGAATAGAAATAAAAATAAAAAAAATGATTTGTTCGTTCCATACCTAAAGAACCTCATGATACCAAGTCCTATAAGAGAAGACAATAGGTGAAATATTTAGCACAACGATTAGCATAAATTTAATATGATGCGTCATCAAAAAGTTTGTGACTTAATATTCATGTGATAAAGCGCAGCTTCTTTTGGCAGACAATCGATTTACCTTAAAGCAACTTCCCTATAGAAAAATTTTTATTGCAAAATTGTAGGTTTATAGCTGTATAATATTAACAAAGGAAAACTGATAATAACTCATCAGTATAGCTTCTTGGCATTTAAAAATATGGAGTACATCTTTCAGCTAAAGTCTATTCTTGTAATACTTAGTTTTATGAAGTCCTGCAAAAAGTTTTGCTCGATTTTAATAAGGCAAACTTTTAAACGCCGGCAAACTTTCAAAAGCTCATTTCTCTCTTGGGACAATGAGGAGCCAACTAGTATTGTCTCGTCTGTTCCTTAAGTAAAAAAATAAAAATACACTTTGATTTTATAAAATTATATATATTCAATGATAATTTTATCATAATAACCAATATGACATACCATCATTACAGATATGTTTTGTAAAACTTACATGTCCATTTCGTACAGACCATATATTTTTCTAACAACTTGTGTGAACTAAAAGAAAATATGTTATGTTTCTTAATACTACTGTCGTATTTTCCCCCAATCGAGGATACCCACTTCGTAAGGGTCTCTTCTTGATAGTCTCCCGATCTCTGGATCAATCATCATCTGATAGCAGAATAAATAATTCCTTGCCACACCCGGACTCAAAGCCGTGCTCGGAAGTCACGAATCCAGTGGCTAACTAAATAGTTACCCCATTAGCCATGTACTATCTTTAAAAAAAAAAAATCTCTGCAAACCATTATTTTATTTTCTGCTTTCCCCCCCCCCTAGTTTATCCAGTTTTGATGTTGAATCAGATTTATTCTCTTTGAAGATTTTAATCGTATTCTGGATAATGGTCATTTCATTTATATTATATGTCGTGTATCTTCAGTGGGAAATGTTTTAGTTTTATATTTTAAAAGCGTACCTTAGGTAAATGTACCGGTAATGAACAATTTAAGAAAAATTGTTAGCTTTAACGTGAAACACAGCTTAAGTTCTGACGGTGGATCTTTGCTAATGGGTTTAATCGAAATCAAATTTAGTCTTTTATCGAATTATTTTTTTATATGCAGTAATTAGTTAATTATTCTTGAAAGATGCTGGATATATGTTAAGAAAATTAAATGAGGGATATCAGCAGAGGGGGATTAGTTATTAATGCAGAGAAAACGGTATACATGACATTCAATAATGAGGATATAGAACTGAATCCAGGAGGGGTTCTAAAAAGAATTAAACATTTAAATATCTTGGTTCAATAATTGAAATATATAGTGTATGTGATGTAAAAATAAAAAGAAAAATTTTAGATTGCATAAAGACCTTATCAATGCTCAACTCGGTATTATGGAACCGGAACATTATCTCCAAAACAAAAAAAAAAAAACCATCTATAATAGTATAGTACTGGCAATTATGACATATGATTCAGAAACTTGGACCATAAAAAGCAACCTCAGGAAGAAACTTCTAGCCACCGAAATGGACTATTGGAGACAAGTGGCGGGATTATCCAGAATGCGAACATCAGAGAAAAGATGAAGGTTAAAAGAACCATTCTGAAAGAGATTGTGATAAAACGCCTGAAGTGGTATGGACATTTGAAAATAATGCTTAAAGGAACACTCCCCAAAGAAGTCCTCTTATAGACAACTGGCGAAAGAAGAAGACGAGGAAGACCTGGGACAACGAAGTGGACCATGATGGGTCATGGTCTACGGGCAGAATGGACCTTAAATAGGACATTATGGAAAGAAACCATCCAAGCACTTTAGGTTTAGGAAACCCATTATTAGTGGAAACTCCTAACAAAAAAAGAATTCTTGAAAAACCCAAGGAATTCTGTCTGCATATTTTTCACAAGTGATAGGCACTCAGTATTTTGAGGTAATTTTTTTTTTTATATAATTTAAAAAACAAAATAAATTCTCCACAGTTTTAAACTAATAAATAGCCAACTACAGACGAATAAATAAAAATTTGAGACATAACTCCTGAAGAAAACCTCCTTGAAACGAATAGCCTTGTTTTATTAAAAAATCAACTGCAAATCAGCTTTCTTGGCATATCACTTGTGGTACTGAAATCACCCTCCTACGTGTCTACAAATCTACTCATATTTGAACTCTCTGTTTAGCGTATAAAGCTTATTATTTATTAATGAGTTGAAAACTGTCTATATTTATGTATGTTTACCTCACTATATTTTATTTTTGACTTTTGAAATTTATCTTATAGCAGTATAGTCGTCTCCAAACCCAAATTTTATTCCTCAGCTATTTGTGTAATGATTTGATTTTATCGGTCAGTAAGACCTCTTCAGACACATTTCGTTAAATTTTATTTATTTTTAAAATGTCTTTTACCGTGATATAACTCCCACAGAGATCCGTAAAGCACTACTATATAACTTATTCATTCCCCCTAAACAAAATGGCCCCTAAGTGGTCAGTGGGGATCAGCAGGAGGCTTAAGGACAATATTTTTCTCTTTTACAGAGGACTGCTTGAGAGGTTTTTCATCTGAAACCATTACTACACTCTCAGCACTTTTTATGGCCGCCGTAAGCGATCATCAGGGTTAGATTTAAGTACTTACAGGGCATAATAAATATTATGGCGCACTTTAAGGGGGGTAAACACGTCAAGCATCGAACAAAACAGGGGCCCTTTTATCGTTAATTAAAATTATTGTTGACGTTAAAAAAAATATACACGTTAATTTGAATAAAAAGCAACCTTATTCTATCTAGTGGTACTGTTAATTTACAAATTAACTAGTAGTATATTTACCAGATTTAACCTAATTATGGTTATAATTCATAGAATATTAAAGTAAATAGGACCAATACCACCATCATAGAGTGTAGAATTGCATCAATATATAAAATTGGTGGTGTTTATCTTATAGATGGCTTACCGACCGAAACGTAGTTATGTAAATTGAAATAAATATGGTGAAGAAATAAAACACAACCTTATTTAATAATATAAAAAAAAAAAAATCACCTAAAACAAGCACATATGGATTTAAATTATGTTTATTAATTCTATTTATTCTTTAATTCATTATTTATAGTCTAACAGTAGAACTTATTTATTTAGAACCTTTAAAATTGAACCTGCTGGTTATTCAAAGAGACTCGGAATTTTGCTCATTTTTAATTGTCTTAAGACTGTTTTCTGTAGTTTTGTTTTTAACGAGCCCGTTGTGAATTAATAATACGTTTTCATTATCCATTCCTATAAAAATAAAAGTGCAAATTTGACTAATTGGAATTTCGTCACTTTTCTCAAACCATTTGAATCATCATTGGTAAAAAAAAAAAATATGTCAGGACGTATATTTTTTAAAAATGATTATATGATATAAGGATAGAGATCTCATG